CCCTACAACAATCACATAGACTGACATAAGCAGCTTTGTGACACAAGCATACACGTACCTCATGTAAATGAGGTACTTACTGTCTTCAACATCTGTCCATGACAGATTTTTTTGCCAACTTCTTCTCCCCTAAGTCTTGTTTTCTACTGAACTGGTCAAACATAACAATCTTTGTCATCAGATTCTGCTTCAGCAGAATTTTGTGGAGATAATAATTCAGCCATGTACGTTTTTTTGCTACTTTTCCCCCCAAGTTTTTCCATTTAACATTCTAATTGAAAACAACTCTGTAATGCCCTGTAAAATGCCTCTCTATATAACATACCTCCAGTTTTCTCTGATATTTCTCACATTCCATTTGGCACTGTGAAAGATTCTTAGCTGTTTCCTGTTGCATAAGTTGTATATGTTCACTTTCAAAGGACTTCAGCTTACTTTGGTGAAGAAGTTCAGCTACTTTGCTTTCTGTGCCAAGCTGCATTTGTCTATACCTAAAGGGAAAAAGAAGTTTGATGATTCAAAACCGAACAAATGTAGGATACACATTATTTCTCTTCCTTACAGGTGCAAATTTCAGAAATTAATCTAGTACTTCTAAGAGTTTAGTAAGTATTAGGATGGTTATCTAGGTGACTATTGCAATCTGTATTCAAGACATCATTAGGAAAATTAAATACTATAACGACAACAGACAACACAGTATGTGGAAAACTTAGTCCATGGCTTTTCTGAATATATAGTTAATGCACAATCATTGAGAACTGCACCTTCTTCTCAAAAAGCAGAAATGAAGTATATTTTTGAGAATATCACTGTAAGGTAATTGTATGTGATAGATAATAATCCACTGAGAAGTGGACTTTATTCATTTTACTTAATATATTTAACAGGCAATCTCAGAAAAGAGGGGTAAAAATGTTTGCTCATAGATAACTAAATTATTGAACTATAGAAAATGAAGGTGATGTGAAGAACAGTAGAAAGCTTTACAAATCTCAGTGTGAAATAACATGAAATTCAAAGGAGATCTATGCAAAGTAAATCACAGGTTATAAAAATGATTCTGATCATATACATAGAATTACAAACTTGTAGGTGACTGTTTTCATTCATGAGTGAGGTCTTGGGGTTATACTAGATAAATCCATGAGAACTTTGGCTTGTTTATGTTGGTCAAAACTAACACTTTGAGCATTACTGTGAAAGCAATAGAGAAAACACAGAAATCACTATATCCCTTTACAATTCCATGCCGTTGCCTGCATACTGAACGCTGACTACCATTCTAGTACCTCACCTCACAGAGAATACAATAGAACTCGTGTGGCATCAGAGAAGGGTAATAAGGATTACCTTTGTCAAAGAGCAAGTGCATGCACTTATAGAGTCACACTGTGTGGAAGAAATTACTTAAGCAAGCTAGGACTCTACAGCTTGGAAAAGAGAGGGTGTAACAAAAAGGAAGAAATGACAGCAGCCCATAACACCATGAGCAGCATAGAGAATGAGGATAAGAATTGACTGTATTTTCCAATAGGTGAATGAGAAGGCATCTAATAGAGCTAACAGAAACCGAAAGAAAATAAATAGAAACCGTTCTTCCCACATGAAAGCTGTGAAATTCTTTACCATAAAATGCCATGAGTGTTAAAAAATAACACTTATTCAAAAGGATACTTGAACAAATTGGAAGTGGAGAAAGCCTTTGACAACTACTAAAGCTACAAGAGACATCACACTCACAGGCTCTCGTTCTACTGGGGGACTTCAACCACCCTGTCATATGCTGGAAAAGTTGCACGGTGACCTGTAGACAATCCAGGAGATTCCTGGAGTACCTTGATGACAACTTCCTGAGGCAGGAAATAGATGCAACTCGAGGGGATGCAACACTAGTCCTGATGGTCACAAATGCTAGTGAGCTCATCAGGGACATCAAAAAAGGAGGCAGCTTGGGCTGCAGTGAACATGCATTAGTGCAGTTCAAGGTCCTGTGGGGTATGAGGGAGATGAAAAGCAAAGTCAGGACCCTAATTTTAAGAAGGCAAACTTCTAGCTCTTCAAGGAGTTAGTCATTAAGACTCCCTGGGAAATAGTCCTTAGGGACAAGGAAGCGGAGCAGAGCTGGCAGATCTTTAAACATGCTTATCATAGAGCTCAAGAACTTTTGATTCCCAGCTGTAGGAAATCAGGTAGGGAAGGAAAGAGACCAGCATGGCTGAGTCAAGACCTGCTGGTCAGAGTAAAAGACAAGATGAGACTGCAAAAGCAGTGGAAGCAGGGGCAGGTATCCTGGGAAGAATACAGTGACACCACCCGGTTGTGCAGGAACGAGGTGAGGAAGGCCAAGGTACAGCTGGAGCTGAACGTGGCGAGAGATGTAAAGGAAAACAGGAAGGGCTTCTATAGGTACATTAACCAGAAGAGGAAGGTTAAAGAAGGCATCCCCTCCCTGAGGAACAGCAATGGTGAGTTAGTAACAACAGATGAGAAGGCTGAGGTCCTGAACAAGTTTTTTGTCTCAGTCTTCAACGGCAGCTTCTCACAACTCTCAGGTGGATGGCCCATGAGACAGGGACCAGCGAGACAAAGCCCCTCCCACAGACAACAAGGACAAGGTTCATGAATACCTCGGGAACCTTGACATACACAAGTCTATGGCACCCCATGAGATGCACCCCAGAGTACTTAAGGAATTGGCTAATGCAGTCGCCAAGCCCCTGTCCATAATATTTGAAAAGTCCTGGTAGTCAGGCAAAGCCCCTAGTGACTGGAACAAAGGAAACATCACTCCTATTTTTAAAAAGGGTAGAAAGGAAGACCCTGCGAACTATCGTCCTGTCAGCCTCACCTCTGTGCCTGGGAAGATCATGGAGCAGATCCTCCTAGAAGAAACGCTAAGGCACATGGAGGACAAGAAGGTAATTCAGGAGAGTCAGTACGGCTTTACCAGGGGCAAGTCCTGTCTGACCAATCTGGCTGTTTTCTGCAATGAAGTAACTGCACTGGTGGACAAGGGAAGAGCCGTGGACGTCATCTATCTTGACTTTGCCAAGGCCTTTGACACTGTCCCCCACAGCATCCTCCTTTCTACATTGGAGAGATATGGGTTTGATGGGTGGACTGTTCAGTGGATGACAAACTGGCTGGACGGCCGCACTCAGAGAGCAGTGGTCAATGGCTTGGTGCCTAGCTGGGCAAAAGTGACCAGTGGTGTCCCTCAAGAGTCTGTAGTGGGACCAGTGTTGTTGAACATCTTCATCAATGACACAGACAGTGGCATCGAGGGCACCCTCAGCAAGTGTGCTGAGGATACTGAGCTGGGTGGTGCAGCTGATATGCCAACGGGAGGCCATCCTGGGTACTTCTCACAGAGACGTCACTTAGCAACAAATTGTTAGAATGCCAGATAAACCTTCACTCTAGCCCAGCACGGTTGTTACGTTAGCTGTCATTTATCAAACAGCAGTTGCAACACAATTTCATCCTATTTAGCACCTGATCTTTAGGTGGGACTGGGAGTGTTTAACAAAGACAGGCAGATTACTTTTCTCTGATGATTTCAGATGTAGGAATGTTTCTAAGGCACAAAGAGGAAGCAATTTTCACTGGAGTTAACCTGAATAGAACAAACAGGTGCCATTATGATGCCCTTTATAATCACTCTGTAGACATCCATGTACAAGTAAACAGTTCAATGCATGAATGAGGTTGTTCCCACACAGGCTGCATAAGCAGAGATGGGAAGTTCTGCCTACTGAGCTAGTGGAAAGGTCACTCTTTTAAAAACAATTTTCTTTTTGAATAGCATGACATTTGTTCTCAGTTACTGTGCTTAAATTGCTAAACACCAATTATCTACCTGGTTACCAATGACCACTGTCAATTGTGCTTGAGGATGCTTTTCGAGTGCTGATACTTTAAGTACTTCACCTCTGCACCCTTAATGGTTCTATGCATAAATGTAAGCTGCGCATATTCTGTTTACACTCTCCAGAGAGGTCCATAGTTCTCTGGTGATTTTGTAAGGCTATTCAATCAGCTGGGAGCTTCCAGAGCATGCTTATCAACCCAATCACAAACCGTAACTTCAGAGAAATATTTTGTAATTTGTTTTGGAAACCTGAAGTACCTCAGATGTGCATGATCTGTTTTGTACCAGTAAGGTTATGAAGGGTCAGTTTTCTTTTGACCTCACTGCACTGTTGAGCTCACTAGTAATTCCTTCACTGCAAAACCATTCAGAGTTTCTTTTTCATACTTGCTTTTACTCAGCCAGATAGGATTTCTGGTTTCTTGGGTACTATTTCAGCACAAGTGCATGTGCATGTGTGTACAGCGTCATGTAACAAAATGTCAAAATACATTCCTTAATCTGCCTAGATGGCCTCTAAGGGAAGAAAAAGAAAATAAAACTACCCCGTGCTGCAATACCACTATTGTGGAAAAAAATCGTGGAATGTGGGTGTGCAGGATTTTCCTCCATCAAGAAATTTTAGCAAACTTGATATAGTGAAAGAGTAGAGGTTTTTGTCTCACAAGAAGGCATTTTGGGAATGACAGGGAAATTACAGATTGAGCTAAGGAAAAAAAAAAGGAAACACTCCTGAACACTTAAGAATGAGGTCTCAACTTCATTATTGTCTGTGCCATTAAGATGACCAGTCAATCATGCCTGAAGTTTGCTAAAGCAGAGTGACACAACGGTTTATCAAAAAGGTTATTTTTAGAGTAAAGTAACAAGACAGAATATTCAGAGAGGGACTTAAACTGTGTTTTGTAAGGATGGCTCTAAGATACCTCAGTCAGAGGAATATGTTTTGTAAATGGTGGACCATGATATAACTTTTCAAAATTTGCATGCGAACATCCACCCTTTCTAATTTTGCAAATGATTATACTGACCCAAAGCTCTTTAGGATGTATTTTAGACTTTATCTTCAAGTTTAGAAAAAATGGAAAAAAATCCTGTAAGTTGTGAAAACATCCTGTCTCCACAAATTCAAATTCAGATCTAAGATCTTAAGAGTAATTCCAAGACACTCTCCTATTTTTGTACAAACGTTTGTGCTTTGGTTCAGTGCCAAGTTTGCAGAGAAACCTAAATGCTGCAGACATTCCCTCCCTAACCTGTCCTATTGCAAACCTTCCACTTCCAGCCTAAACATGTTCTCTAAAGTTCCTGCCCTCCTCCCTCTCTGTCCCAGTGCCAGCCCAGATTTCTCCTCATTTCCAATTCCATTCTCTCTACTTGGGGCATGTTTTTCTTCTCCCCTCTGTTCCTAGCCTATTCAGTTTCCACTTCTATCTTATAGCCCTACTCTCCATCTGCTGGTTTCTTTCTCTTTATTCCCATATCACCCTCATAATTTGCCATTCTTCATCAAATCCTACTCGTACCTCTTTCAATATGAGGTTCAAATCCCAGTTTTAACTTCGTCCCCTTTGCAACTGAGTCTGGCTGTTAAGGCTTCGTTGCTTCCAAAGAGCT